AAGAAAAATTGTCTGGCTTTAATGATAATTACTTAGAGTTATTTTATTTGATTTATATTATTATTAATCCATTACACACATGCAATTTTAGTTTAACAGTTATTATAAATCATTTATTTTAAATGAATGTTAATATATACAGATCGTATGTAATATAATAAGCTGTAGAATCAATAGATAACACTTTTAAAAAATGACTACGTGACCTTATATGTTCGAGTCTCTATCGCTGTATATTTCCAACTATATAAACTAACTTAACAAGTTTCACTTGTGACTGAGCAAGATAATTTCTTTTATTTGTCCTCTTTCATGAACAAGTACTTTTTTCATTGTTAATGCATTTAAATTCATCATATTCTTCAATCTCTTAACCTTTAGCAAAACCTTTAACCTTTAACCAAGGCTTGTGATTGGCTGTTTGCCAGTGATGTCACACATTCATGAGCACACACTCCACAAACTCAGGATCAAAGCCTGAGTTGACAAAGAAAGTTGATGATCAGCATCATAGTATCAACAAAGCCGGATTGGAGTGGTTTGGTTTTGTCAACTCAAAACTAATCCTATAACTCTGAATTTGTTCATCTACCATCATGGTACAGGCCCACGAGTCTTCCCTCCAAGATTATTGGAGATGATATCTCAGATCATTATCTAGTCTTGTGCAAACTTCATATAGCTAAAACTGTAAATTATACTCCTTGTTACAAGTATGGCAGAACCATCACTTATACCACAAAAGACTGCTTTGTAAGTAATCTTCCTGATTTATTTCAATTCCTTAGCATATCCAATAGCTCAGAACAACTTGATGATGTAACAGAAACTATGGACTCTCTCTTTTCTAGCATTTTAAATACGGTTGCTCCTTTACGCTTAAGGAAGATTAAGGAAAACAGTCTGACACCGTGGTATAATGCACACCCTAAAGAGAGCAGCCTGGAAAATGGAGCGCAGCTGGAGGAAAACAAAACTAGAGGTAAGGACATTCCTCCAAGTGTAAACGATGTCATCAATTGATTTCATGAGATAAATCATGTTTGTGTAATGTAAGACTGTGATGTCATGAAATTTAATGCAATAAATTGCATTTTGAATGCTTTACCGAGATTGGTTTTGCTTACTAGCTTTCTCCATGCTGTATGGGCAGACTGAAGGTGAGAGAGGTGTATCCCAAAAAAGTTTCACTGTGCTCTGTGTGTTTCTGCAGACCTGTTTCTTCAGAATAAAACATCCTGATACCTCCTCCACCCGCATTGTCTTCATTGAGAACAACAAAACACAACCAGAGTAAATCTGCTACGTAATGCGTTTATGCTGTTTAAGGTTCAAAAAACACATTTTACACATAATGTACATTATTGTTGCTCTTCTATGCCCCGCCTTTCTGAAACGCGTCGATTTTTACAAAGCTCATCGTGTCCAGTGTGGACATAATTACTGATTATAATGACTCATACTGTTTTGTATGTGTTGCGTTGCATATCGCGCCGCGTAAACATAAAACCATGTCTGCATTTGTGATCGGAGAAATGACAAACAACAAGCGCTACTCTACACTGCTCAAAACTCACGTTTAAATTGTCAGTGGCAAATTCTTTCAATATAAAAACATACTTACAGTCTGTGAGTCAGAACAGCCGGCATTGTAGTCTACTCTCCCAAGATCAGGAAACAGTCCTCCTTAAAATGCGCTGCACACATCTGAATATTTGGGTTGAACTGTTCTGGAACAGTGTTGTAAATACAACTTAACCACTGATTTCTAGTTGAGTCCTTTTTTGGAAGGCCAAACAAAGTAATTTCGCTTTCACAAAGAAACACACAGCGTCTCCACGACATGGCGGCGGCGGCAGTAACAATACTACAGTGAGAATCAAAGTTATGCAAATCTTCCCACATCGTGACGTAGACATGAGGGGGCGTGTTTAAACGAGGCGTTTTAGGAGGGCATGGACGAGTCTTAACTTTTATAAAGAATAATTCTTTGAGTTTGAGACTTTAGTCTTTGCAACTTTCGGGGGTTTTATCTATGCACAAACAGCTTGTAACACTCCAAAATGAAAGGAAAACTTGAAATTGCATCATATGACCCCTTTACCTTTTAAATTCTAAAGACATAATCAGAGCGGAGTGTTTAATAATAATAATAATAATAAGTTTAAATAAGTAAACAATATGCAATATACAATGACATACTTTAAAGTCTTACCTAAGACTGCTATTACCAGTACATACAATATTTGCTAGACTACCAAATCAAAAACACATAGTCTTAGACTTAATGCTTATATCTTTCCCATTACCCCATTATGAATTGCTGAAAGATTATTAACTTTTAAATTCTAAAGACATAATCAGATGAACACTTAAGTAGCAAATGTACCGTATTCATATGCATATAACCCAATATTACAGTAACACTACAGCAGAAGTTTTCAAACCTGTCTTGGAGGACCCCCTGCCCTGCACATTTTGTATGTATCCACACCTGATTCAACTCATCATCTTGTTAATAGAGACTGCAAGAACTAAATTGGGTGTGTCTGATAAGGGAGACATACAAAATGTGCAGGAATGGGGGTCCTCCAGGACAGGTTTGAAAACCACTGCAGTATATTCATATTCTCATATTAACTACAACTTTTACCTTAATTAACTCCTAATTTACTGCTTATTAATAGTTGGTAAGGTAGTTTTTGTAGCATTTAAAAGGTTAGTTCACCCAAAAATGAAAATTAGCCCACAAATTACTCACCCTCAAGGCATCCTATGTGTATATGACTTTCTTCTTTCAGACGAATCCAATCGGAGTTATATTAAAAAGTCAGCGGGTGTCACAATTCATCAGTCCAAAAGAAGTTAAATAAAGCGCATCCATCCATAATAAAAAAGTGCCTCACATGGCTCCAGGGGTGAACAAAGGCCTCCTGTAGCGAATCGATGCATTTTTGTAAGAAATAATAAATATATCCATATTTAAAATGTAATAATCAATTTAATCTAGCTTGCGCTCACTGTTGTACACGGAAGCAGCTCCGGGCAGATGACGTAGGACGTCGGCATTAAAAAGGCTAATTTCTGCTATTTATAAATGTAAGCTATTATTTTAAATTATAGACAAGTGCTTTGGCCACATTTACAAAACCAGGCGATTATGTTCGCCCATCTATGCAAATGTTTCTTTATGCATAGAGACAAAAGAACGAGGTTAATCACCGTCTGTGATTATAGTGATCGTGTAGATTTTCAAAGACACTGATTAATGGTACACAAACAGTATTTGGTTTTATTTCTCATCAAAACAAAACTTTATGCAGAAAAGTTACAATGTGTGTATTTATTTATGTTCTGATTGAGCAACATCTATTTCAGACGTGCAAATTCTAGCATTACAGTTTCCATAGGAGTGAAATTTTATGCATATATGTTGCATTAATTATTAATGTAAGGCAAAAGCAAAGTTTAATTAGCACATTTCATACACAATGGTAATTCAATGTGCTTTACATATACAAGGAATTAAAATAATCATAATGATAAAAACAAGGAATTTCAAAATTATAAAATGATACAAAAATTAATTTAAAATGAATTAAAACTGTTAAGAATAAAAATGAACATACATAAAATACAGTGCAATCTGATGTTCATCTGATGTTTGATACTTTAATGAATATGATACTTTTTTTAATAGGCATGGGAAATTCCCAACATTAAACAAATCTTAATAAATAAAATATTTTACATGAACTACGTTTGTGTTATAAGAACGTACAGGGATACTTCAGATATAAAAAAGCTGAATCATTAGGTGGTTTTCTTATAAAAATTGTACGATTTAATGTTAATTCAACAGAATATATGGGAGCACTAGGGAATGGCAATATGACGGCACATTGGCTTCACTTCTATAACATCATCAGCAATCCAGTTCTCTATTATAGATCAGTGGTGTAAACTTATAATAATGTATTACTACAGTCATGTGGACTTAACAGACACACGCACGCAACAACCATAAAGTCCTCAAGACACATCAGATTTTATATACACATACATACATACATATGAAGAGTTCAGATGCAAAAGCTTCTAAGTGCCATCTGAAATTTTCATCTAAAATTAGCATTTTTATCAGGCTCCTATGCTTAGGTTTGGTAATTTTACTCTAATGGCAATACATAGTCAGCCTGATAAAAATGCTTATTTTAGAAGAAAATTTCAGATGGCACTTTCCAGTTCTCTATTATAGATCAGTGGTGTAAACTTATAATAATGTATTACTACAGTCATGTGGACTTAACAGACACACGCACGCAACAACCATAAAGTCCTCAAGACACATCAGATTTTAGCCCCAGGGCTTGTTTAATACTAGGTTCAGACTTATTTTAGAAGAAAATTTCAGATGGCACTTAGAGGCTTTTGCATCTGACCTCTTCACATATACATATACACCCACACACACACACACACACACACATATATATATATATATATATATAGAGAGAGAGAGTATATATATATATAGTATATATATAATTATAAGAAAGCAAAATTATATAAAAGAAAACTTTTTGACATTGTTCTTTGGAGAGGAACTCCATCTTTGAGTTGATCTGAATCTCACAGTTGAATCTGCTGGTTTTGAAGATGAAGATGAACTTTATTCACTGTGACAACTTTAGATAATGTGTCTTTGTCATGTCGCTTGTAATGGATAGATTTATCCAGATTATATTTTTTATTGCTTGATTTATTATTGTCACATTTGGTGAGAAGGCAGCATCAGATCTGAAAGTACTGGATCTGAAGATGATCTATTTACTGTGATAGTTTTTTGTATGTCTCTGTAGAGCAGATGAATTATTGAAACACTTCCCACATGCAGTGCAGTGATACGGTTTCTCTCCAGTGTGGATCCTCTCGTGTCTTTTCAGATTTGCTGAATCACTGAATCTCTTGTCACAGTGTGAACACTTGTAAGGTTTTTCTCCAGTGTGGATCCTCTCGTGCCGTTTTAAACAGTTTGCTGTAGTAAAAGTCTTTTCACACTCAAAGCACATGTACTCTCTCACAGCAGTATGCATTTCCTGATGTTCTTTCAAACTTTGTAGACATAAAAAATTCTTTCCACACAAATAACATGAATGTGGCTTCTGCTTTGTATGAACATTCATGTGCTGCTTTAGGGCTGAAGCCCTCAATAACATTTTCCCGCATTGATCACATGTGTACAGTTTCTCTCTAGTGTGGATCTTCATGTGATTCTTAAGATGTGCTGATTGTGTGAATCTCTTCCCGCACTGATCACAAGTGAATGGTTTCTCTCCCGTATGAACTCTCATATGTGCTGAAAGGTGTCCTTTTATTGTGAAACTCTTCCCGCACTGATCACAAGTGAATGGTTTCTCTCCCGTATGAACTCTCATATGTGCTGAAAGGTGTCCTTTTATTGTGAAACTCTTCCCGCACTGATCACACTTGTACGGTTTCTCTCCAGTGTGGATCCTCTCATGTGTTTTCAGGTGTCCTGACCGACTGAATCTCTTGTCACAGTGTGAACATTTGTATGGTTTCTCTCCAGTGTGGATGTTTATGTGATCCTTAAGGTGTGATGATTGAGTGAAACTCTTCCCGCACTGATCACAAGTGAACAGTTTCTCTCCAGTATGAACTCTCATGTGAACATCAAAATTATATTTGCTTGTCAAACTCATTCCACACTTTCCAGTGCAGGTGAAATATTTTTTGGCTCTTCTTTTCTTTAAATATTTCTCTTTGGTTTGAGAGCAACTCAAGGGTTTTTCTCCAGTTTTGACATGATTTTTCTCTCCAACTTCACTTGATTCTTCACTCTCCTTGTTTTTTTCAATCATCTCTGAAATAAAATAATGGTTTATATTCAGTAAAGTAAATCTAAATCTGCTTGAAGCTTTATAACTGTCAGCATTATTAATGAATTCATCAGGGTTTCTTAGTTTTTAATTTTGGTCATTTTGATGCTTTTTTTTTTTATATGTTTTATTATAAATTATACATCCCTGAAACTTTCCATGAATGTGTTACATTGATTTTAAATGTATTATTTTAAAAACATTATAAAACAAAAATCCCATGTTTCTATAAGGATAACTATCAAATGTTTGATCAACTACACAATTATTCTCTCCAGTGTGGATGTTTATGTGATCCTTAAGGTGTGATGATTGAGTGAAACTCTTCCCGCACTGATCACAAGTGAACAGTTTCTCTCCAGTATGAACTCTCATGTGAACATCAAAATTATATTTGCTTGTCAAACTCATTCCACACTTTCCAGTGCAGGTGAAATATTTTTTGGCTCTTCTTTTCTTTAAATATTTCTCTTTGGTTTGAGAGCAACTCAAGGGTTTTTCTCCAGTTTTGACATGATTTTTCTCTCCAACTTCACTTGATTCTTCACTCTCCTTGTTTTTTTCAATCATCTCTGAAATAAAATAATGGTTTATATTCAGTAAAGTAAATCTAAATCTGCTTGAAGCTTTATAACTGTCAGCATTATTAATGAATTCATCAGGGTTTCTTAGTTTTTAATTTTGGTCATTTTGATGCTTTTTTTTTTATATGTTTTATTATAAATTATACATCCCTGAAACTTTCCATGAATGTGTTACATTGATTTTAAATGTATTATTTTAAAAACATTATAAAACAAAAATCCCATGTTTCTATAAGGATAACTATCAAATGTTTGATCAACTACACAATTATCTAACATGCATATTATTGAAAAAAGTACCCCATTACAACAAATCTAAAACTGCTTGAAGCTTTATAACGTTCTGCATTCTGCATACCCCGGCGAGCAGAGCTCATTAGCATTTAAAGATTAATGAAGAATAAAGACCAACCTCCTTGTTTTATTCTCCGGGTTTCTGGTTCCACGTGTTTTATTCTCCGGGGTTCTGGTTCCACGTGTTTTATTCTCCGGGGTTCTGGTTCCTCATGTTTTATTCTCCGGGGTTCTGGTTCCTCGTGTTTTATTCTCAGGGGTTCTGGTTCCTCGTGTTTTATTCTCCAGGTTTCTTGTTCCACGTGTTTTATTCTCCGGGGTTCTGGTTCCACGTGTTTTATTCTCCGGGGTTCTGGTTCCTCGTGTTTTATTCTCCAGGTTTCTGTGTCCTCGTGTTTTATTCTCCAGGGTTCTGGTTCCACGTGTTTTATTCTCAGGGGTTCTGGTTCCACGTGTTTTATTCTCAGGGGTTCTGGTTCCTCGTGTTTTATTCTCCAGGTTTCTGGTTCTTCGTGTTTTATTCTCCAGGGTTCTGGTTCCTCAAGTTTTATTCTCCAGGTTTCTGGTTCCTCGTGTTTTATTCTCCAGGTTTCACTCGTGTCCTCCTCACTCTCCTCTTTAACAAACACCATCTTCACAGCAGCAGATCTCATTTCAGATGATATTCCTCCAGATATTCCTGCTTGCTTCAAAACGACTGTGAGGATGAGAATAATACGGGTATTTATTGACCTGATTCAAAAACTGTATTTTTCTACGAACACAAACCACATTTCTAACAGTTTGTATTAAACCAGCATCACGACAAAGCAACAGAGATCATGGTGAAACTAATCTTCTTCCTCTGAGGTTTAATGGTGTTTTGCAAACAAACCTATATGTGTCTTAGCGCCACCCGCTGGACTGGAGTTTGATGCGACGAGAGAAGCGAAATAATACGGGGGAAATTACTTAGTGCATCTATAAGGTGCGCTGTTCTGCACAAATAAATGAAAAGGAATTTAAATTATAGCCTCGCATGGTATTTGATCAACATCAACAGTCTTTGTGACTGAGGATTAAAGTATAAAAATTAGTGAATTATTCGTTAAATATTTCATTGAAAAATCACACAACGTTGCAGAATTTTAATATGGAAATTAAGACCAATAAAAACAAGTGATAATAATAAGATGTGGCCTAATTAATAATAATAATAATACTACAACTAATAAAATAAAAATTTGAACAGGTTTAGCATGAAAAACAACATCATTTTGTTATTTGTCTTTCTAAATATCTGGGACTTAATTAATACATGACCGACTGTGTTTAGAAGGATATTTTGATATAGTATATTTTTGTGTGTATTTGTCCTTTCAAATTCAAAACAAAATAAATGAGACATGATAAATTTAAATTCTGAAAATGGCTTTATTTAAGTCATACACACATACACAGTTGTTTATATTAGAACAAATTTATTAGCATTTGAACACTTTCTAACATTGACCTTAAACTTTAATTTAAATTTACTTAGAGTGTAAAACAAACTTGTTAAATTAAAACTTCATTACAGCCTCATTAATGAAGAATAAACACCAACCTGTTTGTTCGAGTATCTTCAGTGTGTTTGATTCTGCAGGGCTGTGGATCTCTCATCTTCTCTCTGTCCTCTTTAATAAACTCAGTCTTTGCAGATTTAAGCTCTTCCTGATGCTTTGATGCTCTTCTTCACTTGCAAACTGATGAAAATATTCCAGCATTTATTGCTGAACTACAGTGTGGGAGGAGCTTCACTGATGATGTGATTAAAGTGGGAGGGGCTTCACTGATGATGTGGTTGCAGTGGGAGGAGTTGATCTGCCAAAATCAAATATGTGACCCTGGACCACAAAACCAGTCATAACCAAGACAGCAAAATTCCTGAGGCCCAGATCAGGCCCACACCTGACACTTTCATCTGGCCCACATACCACGTGGAATGATGGCACTTGGGTGGTCCGCTGCTGTTTGCCAGATTTGGGCCACAAGCAAGCCAAAGGAAGACCCAATGTACGGAAAAATAAATTAAGACGTAATCAAACAGACGATGAACACTATTAACAGCAATTATTATATGATGCAATCAAACTTATAGTAAAATGTGGTAGTTCTGTATGTTGTTTCAGGGTTGGCATCATCTGAGGTCCTCTGAGGGGTTGGCATCATCTCTTCTCAGGTGTTCTGGATCCAGACTGAAGCTTGAGCCAGGCCTCCGAAGTGCACGAAGGGCCCTCTGAAGTGCGTGAAATGCTCCGCCTTCGCAGAATTTCCTAATTCCTAACCAGATGTTCCCGATTACTGCTTTGTCGCATAGCAACGGTGCATGACGAGAGGACAATCCTGCCAGGATAGGTGGATCCAGAATTGCTCATTTTTGTTTTTATGTTTTACGTCATAATGGAGGAGACGGTGATGTACCTCAGGCTTAGCCAAGACCGAGGCCAGGTAAATTACACTGGTTTGCTGCATCCTTTGTCGGATTACAACTTTAAATGTAGGTATTGGCTTGGAGCTTACTTGAATAATGTAATGATACATATGAAAAACCACAAAATACACACACACACATAGCAGTTTAAATGCTGACTGATATCTTACAAAGGTGTGATTTTATATAGTTTGTCTTGGCCATGGTGATCATATGTAGACAGGTTTGCAACCCAGATTTTTTAGGCAGTTAAGTATAAAAATAAAACTGAAAAAAAAATAGAGCATTGTACTGCTCAACGTTCAGCGGCAGCGGCCACAGCTGAACAGTGCTCTGTTTGACGGTCCGAGTCCTTCAGATGCAGCCTTTGATATACACTGAACAAAATTAAAAACGCAACACTTTTGTTTTTGCCCCCATTTTTCATCAGCTGAACTCAAATATCTAAGACTTTATCCAAGTACACAAAAGGCCTATTTCACTCAAATATTGTTCACAAATCTGTCTAAATCTATGTTAGTGAGCACTTCTCCTTTTCTGAGATAATCCATCCACCTCACAGGTGTGGCATATCAAGATGCTGATTAGACAGCATGATTATTGCACAAGTGTGCCTTATGGTGTGTTCACACCAGACGAGAATTTAATTATTCGCGCGAGTAGATTACATACAAAGTCAATGCAAAGACGCGAATTCGCGACAGGCGACGCGAAATGCGCGACACGTGTGCCGCGAACGCGAGATATTTATGGGGGTAGAATCGTTGCATAATTCCAAATAAATACATTATGATCCACAAATAAATGTAAAGAGATTAACAAAAATAAAATGTATTGATAAATAAATAGAATGAGATCCACAAATAAATCTTAGAGTTTCACAAACAAGAATTAAATTCACACAAAAAATAAAATTATTTGCAAATAAAAAACATTCACAGATATATTTTTATGTCACAAACACAACTTTGCCTGGCATTCATTTGTGAATCACGTCCTGTGCATTTGTAGATCGCTGCATGCGTTTGTGAATCTGTCAGTGGATCACCAGCTTCCTGACAGACAGGCAGCAGCTAGTGAGGCTGGGCAAACTCACATCCAGGACTATCACCATCAGCACTGGCGCCCCCTAGGGATGTGTACTCTCCCCACTGCTCTTCTCTCTCTACACGAATGACTGCACCTCTAAAGACCCCTCTGTCAAGCTCCTGAAGTTCGCAGGCGACACTACAGTCATCGGCCTGATCAAGGATGGAGACGAGTCTGCTTACAGACAGGAGGTTAAAGAGCTGGCTGTCTGGTGCAGTCTTAACAACCTGGAGCTTAACACGCTCAAAACTGTGGAGATGATCGTGGACTTCAGGAGAAAACCCCCTGCACTCCCCCCACTCACCATCATGGACAGCACTGTGACTGCAGTGGAGTCATTCAGGTTCCTGGGCACCACAATCTCTCAGGACCTGAAGTGGGACACTCACATAGACTCCATTGCAAAAAAGGCCCAGCAGAGGTTGTACTTCCTTCGCCAGCTGAGGAAATTCAACCTGCCACAGGAGCTGCTTAAACAGTTCTACTCTGCTATCATTGAGTCTGTCCTGTGTTCATCCATAACTGTCTGGTTTGGTTCAGCAACCAAATCAGACATCAAGAGACTACAACGGACAGTCAGGACTGCTGAGAGGATTATTGGTGCCCCTCTGCCCAGCCTCCAAGATCTTTACATCTCCAGAGTGAGGAAAAGGGCTAAAAAAATCACCTTGGACCCCTCACACCCAGCCCACTCTCTCTTCGAACTGTTGCCTTCTGGTCGGCGCTACAGAGCACTGACCACCAGAACAGCAAGGCACAAGAACAGTTTTTTCCCACAGGCTATACTCAGTCTTAACAATTAAGCTTTCATAATTATACATCGTCCATCACAACTAACATAGTACATTTATATTAAACTGCACACTTTGTAAAGTGCACACTGGAAGCTCCTGTCGTCAAGTCAAATTCCTTGTGTGTGTAAACATACTTGGTAATAAAGCTCTTCTGATTCTGATTCTGATTCTGATTCTGAATAGCTCCCTGTGCATTTGTAAATCGTTGCGCTTATTTGTGGATTTTGAGACATTTCAAGCGTCAAGAGGCAAACCAATCCACAAATGGATGGACTCCACCCCCCTTCTACTTAAGCCAATCAGATACCGGTCACGTGGCGCCGACCAATTTGTGTTCTCGCTCCAACCAATCACGTTTTGCCTTACAATCAGTGTGGGACCAGGCACCAAACACGCTATTCTGGCTAATTAACAGCTTCAAAATGGACGAGCAGGACAGTTTAGTAGGTAACAGGTAAGTGGTGCTAAATTAACAACAATGAGCAAAAATTTAACTTGGTTGTTGCTATGCTCATATTTATGGTGATGGCGAGGGGACCTGTTCGGTTCACTTAATTTTGTCGGGGGGTCTGAAAACCAGTCAGTATCTGGTGTGACCACCATTTGCCTCAAGCAGTGCAACACATCTCCTTCGCATGAAATTGATCAGGTTGTTAATTGTGGCCTGTGGAATGTTGGTCCACTCCTCTTAAATGGCTGTGCGAAGTTGCTGGATATTGACAGCAACTGGAACACGCTGTCGTATACGCCGATCCAGAGCACAAACCCCCCC